TGGATTACTGCGGGATTCCTCTCAGACCCGAGCTCAACAAGGTCGTCAAACGGTGATCTGCTACTGCTCTGCTTCATGTCGAGTCTACTGGCGCAAGTGGAGGCCACCAGTTCGCTTGTCACACGAGCCAGGGGCTACAGAGACTTTTTGACGTACATGGTGTACTGCTGGACCCGCGCAATCTGCACAGGCCGCCGAGTTGGGTGTACTGCTCGGACATGTCTTGAGCATTTCACAGGGTCAACTCTGAGCGCCTCGACTTCTTGACGTACATGGTGTACTGCTGGACCCACGCAATCTGCACAGGCCGCCGTGTTGGGTGTCCGGCTCGGACATGTCGTGAGCACTCCACGGGGTCAGTTCTGAGCGCCTCGAGAGGCAAAACATTGCGAGCCTCTGGTGTGCGCGAGCCTCTTGTACAGGCTTGTTCGGTCACGGCTTTCGGCGGGACAGGCTGATGTTAGAGTCGACGGCGTCCCGTCTGAGACCTGCCAACCTCACGATCCTGTGTCCCAAACTGCGTTTGTTTCTTCAGGCCTGGGACTCAACGAGCAGCTGGGGCAATTCTGCAAAAGTCGCTCGGAAACCTTCCGTGCACGGGTGCAGCAAGAGCAGGAACAAAAAAGATAGGGCAATAAAGACTTCGGAACCATGTTTGTATGTATGTAAACCCAGGCTCACGGATGTATATCGATACAGATCTCTATACATCCTAGAACCATCGCGCGCGCTTCGTGCGGGCTCAAGTTCTAGCTAGGGTCATGATCATCGTCATCATTGTCATCCTCATCCCCGTCATCTTCATCGTCATCGTCATGGTCACCTTCGCCATTACCATCACAACAAGCATCAATATCACCATTATCATCAACATCGTGATCACCATCGCCATCATCGTCATCGTACTTATCAACATCATCATCATCCGCGTCGTCAACATCTTGTTGGTCGTCGTTGGCGACGTCGTCGGCATAGTCATCGTCAGCACCATCAGCGGCATCGCCGTCATCATCCCCGGTCCACTGCAATCCCCTTATCCTCCTCCTCTTCCCGTTCTCCCTCTTCCCATCAACTTATATTAATCCTTTTCCTCATCGGCGTTTCCCTGAAATAGACACCTTCTCCTCCTCCTCCTCCTTCTCCCTGTCTTCCCCGCTCTTCGATGTGTCCCTCCTTGTGTTCCTTCACCTACTTCACCTCCTTTCTCCTCTTAAAGCCCTCTTCATCCTGCGCTCCCCTTCCCTCGTCGTCCTCAGCGTCCCTCCCCGAGCCAGAGAATCAGATAACAATCTAATCATACAAAAACAGTGTCCCTGTGTCCCTCCTCCCCTTCCCCTTCTCTTCGCCCTCTTCGTCCTCCTGATCTTCCTCCCCCTCCTCCTCCTCCTCCTCCTCCTCCTTCTCCTCCTCCTCCCTCCTCCTCCTCCTCCTCCTCCTCCTCCTCCTCCTCCTCCTCCTTCTCTCCTCGCCCACCTCCTCCTCCTCCTCCTCCTCCTCCTCCTCCTCCTCCTCCTGCTCCTCGTTGTCCACCTCCTCCTCCTCTCTTTTCTCAGCGCACCCGGTAAACGGGTGCCTAGGTGCCTACTGGAACGTGTGCCAGGAGCCTTTTTGGGAAGCATTGTGGCCTTCCTTTGGAATCCTTTGGGGCCTTTGTTGGCCCGTCTGAGGGCCCATTTCGGCCGTTCCAGGTCCCTCTTGGCTAGTCGTGGGAAGCTCAGCCCGTCTTGGGGCCCTCCTGGGGCCCTCTCCGACCATGTAGGAATCCTCTGGTGGCCCCCTCGGGCTTCCTGGGGGCTCTCTTGGGCCGTCTTGTAGCTCTTCTGTGCCGCTCGAAGCTCTCTTCAGCCCATCTTGGAACCCTCTTTGGGGCCTCTGGGGCCGTCTGGGGCCCATTTTGATAGCCTCTTGGGTCGTCGCGACCGCTGGTAGAACTGAAAAGCGAAACTCGGAGAAATAGACGTTTTTCCATAGGAAATGCTTGAGTTGTGCTGTTGGAGGGCCTTCTCAGCGGCCTCTTGGACAGTCGTGGGGGGGTCATGTGAGGCCTTTTGTGGCCCGTCTGGGCGCCCATTTCGGCTGTCCCAAACCCCTCTTGACATGTCATGGAGCTGAGCCGTAGTGGGGGCCTCATGGAGCCCTCTCCGACCATGTAGGGATCCTCCGGTGGCTCCCTCGGGCCCCACGGGGACTCTCTCGGGCTGTTTTGGAGCTGTCTTGTGCTGTTCGACGCTCTCTTGAGGCTGTCTTGGAGCCCTCTTGGGGGCCTCTTGGACCGTGTGGCGCCGTTTTGGGGAACCTTTGGGGCCGACGTGGCCGCCGATGGAACATAAGAAACGAATACCATAGAAATGTACGTTTTTCCGTGGGGAGTGCTCGTTTTTTGCACTCGGGAGCCTTCCCAGCGGCCTCCTGGACCGTCTTCAGGGAGACCTGGTAGGCCTTTTTGGGACCCTTTGGGAGCTCAATTCGGCCGTTCCGGGTCCCTCTTCGCCCGCCATGGGGACCTGAGCCCGTCTTGGGGCCCTCTGGGGGCCCTCTCCGACCATGCAGGGATCCTCCGGTGGTCCCCTCGGGGTTCATCGGTACTCTCTTTGGGCCGTGTTGGGGCTCTCGTGTGCTGCTTGACGCTCTCTTCAAGCCGTCTGGGGGCCCTCTTGGGGGCCTCTTGGGCCGCCTGGGGCTCATTTTGGGAGCCTCTGGGGCCGTCGCGGCCGCTGGTAGGACTGAAAAACAAATATCCAAGAAATATACGTTTTCCCGTGGGAACTGCTTGATTTTTGCCCTTGGAGGGCCTTCTCGGCGGCCTCCTGGACCGTCTTGAATGCCTTTTGTGGCCGTCTAGGAGCAGTCTTGGGCTGTCTTCGAGCGCTCGTGGCCCGTCCAGAAGCCATCTCAGTGCGCTCTTCAGCCACCTTCCAGACAACCTTGGGCGCTTTGGGCGCCTCTTGGGCCAGCTTGGGAGCCTCTGGGGGGGGTCCGGGGCCCCTTCTGAACTCTCTTGGAGCCCTCAAGGCCCCCCCGGCCCCTCATACGAGCCGCCGGTAGCAGTTCTGGGCCCTCCACCAGCGTATTCCGATATATATATATATATATATATATATGCACATAATTATATACACACATAAACCAACCGTATATTCGAAACTGTATGTAAACACATTGGTAACAACAGAAAAAACATGGCACATGCGGCGCCAGCGACGTGTCAAGGCCGCTGGCATCAGGATCGAAGACTCCTCCGCTCGCTCGCCTCCTTCCCGTGCCCTGGAATCTGCCGTGCAAGGTGTCACCATCGTGGTGTCCATGATCCTCCCTCCAGGCAGAGCAGTCAGCCGCCTGCGTCGGCGGTGGGCATTGCTGCGGCGCTTCTGGCGCAGGCCTCTTGTGACAGGCTTGCGGAGAGTGACTCCTCATTCCCTCCGCCCCACCCACCCACACCACAACCCTCTCCCTCCTCGAAGCCTGCGCCAGCCGCGCCAGGGGCTCAGCGCGGCGCCAGAAAAAATACGCCCGCGGGGCGCCAAACAGGGAGGGCTCCCGGGGCAGCCTCTCGGCGCGGCGCAGCGCCATCGTCGTCACCGAAGGCGATCCCCAGCAGTGCGTGCACGCGCGATGCGTCTGGGCGGCCCGGGGCGCTGCTGCAGGCAAGGAAGTTTCGCAGAACAGCCGACGTATTCGGGTGGTTCATTTGTTCTGCTGTCTCCTTTGCTGGTGACGCTGCTCCGGTTCTTGCTTCACGCAACGGTTTGCACGGTGAGTTTCTGTAGCCAATCGCGTTTTCCGAGGTACTGGCTTCTGGGATTTACCTCGCCCCAGCACGTATGAGGTGCGATCTGTCTACTTTGGTCTCGTTGCGCGGAATCGTCCTTGGTAAAGCTCTCCCTGCGCTTTGACCCACTTCCCCGCCCATGGCGGGCAACCCTGAAAGGAATGTCTTTGGCAGAGGAAGGCGCGTGCACACCAGGGCGCTCCGTGATATAGTCGAACTGGGCATGCATCCCATGATGCAAAGATCGATGTTTGGTTTGGTGTGCTTTGATCATCATGCGCAACCTTTCGTCGACTGTCCCATCTACGAAACCATTCCAGAGAAAACTGCTGCCCACGCCAATTGCCACCATCAACTCGAACCAAACTACCCGCTACAACATCTTCGGTGCTCTGTGCTGCGCTCTATGTGTTCCATCGGGTGAAGCAAGGCCTGCAGGCTCGTCGTCGTTGTCGTCGTCCGAATATCGTGGGCCAAAGCGGGACTATACCTGAGCCGACGCCCGGACCATGAGAATGCACGTCCACACCTGTTTTTATTCGACACTGTGGTTGTTGCCACGTCGTTTCCTGAGCGTATGTTTCCTGGACATGTGTGCCATGTTCCACCGTGTGAACACACGGGCGAAAGAGTACCTTTCAAGAGAGCAGGCCCTCCACTGGCGAAGCAGGCAAGGCTGGCTGGCTGGCCGCTGCTCCTGCTCGGGGGCTCGATCAACCGAGATGACAGAAGAGATCGGGACCACCGAGAAAGCGTCCGCCGTGTCCGAGCTCAGCTGCATACCACAAGTGCCTCGCTCCCTCACCCCCTCCCGTCCTCCTCACGAGGGAGAGCCTGGTGCACATCTTCGTGCCCCGATCTCGGTTGTTGCTCCACTGGGCTCTTATCGCCCGTCACGTGCTCATCTGGGGGTTGCCTTGGCCCTGTAAAGAGAATCCAGGTCACCAGAATCTGGAATGAACGAGGCAGGCGGGGACGAGGGGGATTGAGCAGGGACCGACCGTCCGGGCATTCCTATAGGCCTACCACGAAACAGCGTTCTTAGAACGTAAACCCGATGTGTTGAAACAAGACAGCCCCAGCCAGAAATGTTCTAAGAATATGTGGTGCAAACCACAAAAAGTTCTTAGAACATTGTTTTGTGGGCCAATAGGTCAGCCAGGACGCTTCGCCACTGCTTGAAGGGAGTGACAAAAAAGACGAGGCCGTGGGGACCAGCTGAGCCACCGGCCGGTTGTAGCACGCAGCCTCCAGGGAGACGCTGGAGCCGCGAGCGCACTCGGCCACGCGCAAGGCGGCGTCCAGGGCCCCGTCCCGCAGGCACGCGCTAGCCACTGGCGCCGGCCCGCAATGGTTGACAAGGCAACACAAGAGTTCCAAGCATGTCTCCAGCGCGATTCTTTTTCAGCCACGGCTGGAGCGTGAGCAGACCCTCGAAGTTACACAGTGCTACAAGCTCATGACGTGGGTGCGTCAGAGTAGCCCCATTACGGACAGGTAGGCTTGTGTAGATGAGCGCTATCGCGCATGCGTGCGAAAGCGGAACATTGCCACGGTCTGGGCATCACACGCTGCCGATGGCCTGGCACATCTGGCATGCACCCTCCGTCGAGTCTCAGACGGCGCTTCCAGCCTCGGAGAGGGGCCGGCGCGGCGAGCAATGAAGGCAAACAGGAAGGCATCGACCGCACGTGCATCAGCATGCACCCGACAGAACTGCTGTGCCAATCCCCCATCCGCCGCTCCCCCTTCTGGCTCGACCCCCGCTGAACTCTTTGGCTGACTACAACCACGTTGCTGGATCACCAATTATTAGCATGGGGGAAAAGGGTCCTGAGGGAAACGGGTGCTGGACCCCGGGGCCTTCCCCCAGGACCAATTTTTCATCCCGAGTCGATTTCTGACGGTCCCGGGGCCGTGGAGGGCACCGAGAGCCTGAAAACGGCAAAAACCTCAGGATCCGTTTCCCTCAAGACCCTTTTCCCAAATGGCGAACTAAACAGCGCCATCGTCGAGCCGCCGGGAGAGGCCTGGCAGCAGCAGCGACGACATGCCAAAGAACGCTCGCCTGCGCTGTAAGATCTTACGGATGGGCGCGCGGTGCTCCGCAGCTCCTCGAGGAGTCCCAGCATCACCGCCCAGCTGCCCTCGGGGCCGCGCAAGCAACGTTCACTCCGCTCGCCTGCGTCGCTCACGGAAGGGCACGCCTTCTCTCGAAAGAGCTGGCAGCAAGGTGGAAATCAAGCACTTCGTCAGCCAGGGTGGCCTAGAAGAGCCTCCGAGGTCCCGAAAAATTCTGGCCGCCGTCTAGGAGAGCACTGAAGCACAGAGGCAGTAAGAATGTCACACCCACTTGCTGAAGAGTGCATCGGGTCATCTTTCGGGGGCGTCTCGCATACAGAACAGCTTGAAACACACGAACCCTCTGGGCGCACGTAGGTATTCGACAGAGCCAGCTCTTTCGCCACAAACCCTTTTTCTCCGTCGGGAAGGTGCTCACCATGGTTCACTCCTGCCCTCCAGCCCGTCCCGAAGGTCTGGATCAGATGGCCCTGTCTGCATCCAGAATGGCTCTGGACATCCCAAGGTGGCATCCGAGATGGCGAGAAATGGCCGAAGTTGACCCAGAGAGCTTCCAACATGGCTCCAAGAGAACCCAAGAAAGCCCCACCAAGGTCCACGAAGCAAGCATGATTCCAAACAGAACACAATGACAACCTGGCAGCAAAAGAGCCTGAGCACCTTTGATGGGGGGCCAAGATGGGGGGCCAACGATGGGGAGCCACGGTGGGCCACCGATTTCGTGGGCCTCAGCTCCCTCACTCCGCTTTCGTCAGTATGTATATATACACATATATACGAAGATACACATACATCTGGTTAACCAGCATGGAACCCATGCAGTGCGCTTCTGGGAACATATGCTGTACAACATACGCGTGGTGCAATAAATGTGGTGCAACCAAATCACTTGCTCAACTTGAAACTGTCCTCTCCACTGCTCGTGCATACATCCCACCCTCTCACCCGCAACTTGGTCGCAAGACCTCTTAAGACCGTGACGATAGGTACCAACTGGCACTTGGCAACGACACCGGCGCCGACGACGGCAGCGACAACGACGACGACGACGCCGCCGACAACGACTACGACGAAACCGACGGCGTCTCCAACGACTTCGACGACGAGGACGACGACAACGACGACGACGACGACGACGACACCAACGACGACGACGCCGACGCCGACGAAGACGACAACGACGATGACGCCGACGACGACGACAACGACGACGCCGACGACGACGACGACGAAGGCGACGACGTCGCCAACGAAGACGACGACGACGACGAGGGAAGAGGGAGGACGACGACGGCGACAATGACGACAACGACGAGGGAGGAGGGAGGACGGCGACGACGCGAACGACGAAGAAGGAAGGAGGGAGGACGGCGACGCCGACGACGACAACGACGAGGGAGGAGAGAAGCCGACGACGACGACCACGACGACGGCGACGAGATAGGAGGGACGACGACGACACGCCGACGACGGACGACGACGACGACGACGACGAGGGAGGAGGAAGGACGACCACGGCGACAACGACGACGACGCTGAAGAGGTGGACGACGACGACGAGGAAAAACAGAGGACGACGACGGCGACGACGACGACGCAAGAGCGCGTGTGCACGTTTTTGTTGAACATACGTGTTGCGGAGCCATGTGCTTTTGAATGTTTTTTGGACACTCGACTTTGAAATCCTTCCGGAACCGAAGGTTCTTGAAGGATTTCGGCATGCGCGCACGACGACGCGCGCGCGCGCGCACTTCGTCCCATTTGTTGCTGAGGAATCTCGCGACGGCACGCGCGCAAGGGCGTTCGAACGATTTCGACATGCGCTCGCGAAGCCCTATCGTTCTCTAAAAAAATCGCAATAACGCGCACACGTTGTTTTTGTTTTTGTTTTTTGTTGAAGATCCGTGCTGCGAAACCTTGTGTTGAATTTGCTTTGGAAGCTCCATTTTGAAATCCTTCCGAAACCGACAGTTTTTACCTAACAGCGAAGGCTGATAGGTTTCTAGTGGGGTCAAAAGAGAGCATCCTGATTCCCCAAGGGGGGTCTGGGCAGGATCCTGGGGATGCCGGGGAAAACCGGGGACTCCGTTTTTAGCCAACAATAACGCACTTCGTGGTCTTCGAGCTCCCAGAACTCCATTCCTGGGCATGATTGTGAATGCCCGGAGCCAACTGTAGGCCACTTCGTGGTCTTCGAGTTCCCAGAACTCCATTCCTGGGCATGATTGTGAATGCCCGGAGCCAACTGTAGGCCACTTCGTGGTCTTCGAGTTCCCAGAACTCCGCTCCTGGGCATGATTTTGAATGCCCGGAGCCAACTGTAGGCCACTTCGTGGTCTTCGAAGTCCCGGAATTCCGCTCCTGGGCATGATTTTGAATGCCCGGAGCAAACTGTAGGCCACTTCGTGTACTTCGAGTTCCCAGAACTCCATTCCCGGGCCACATTTTGAGTGCTGATGCAGGCTGAGGCTGAGGCTGATGCAGGCTGAGGCTGAGGCAGGCTGAGGCTGAGGCCGAGGCTGAAGGCAGACTGAGGCTGAGGCTGAAGGCTGAGGCTGAGGCTGAGGCTGAGGCTGAGGCTGAGGCTGAGGCTGAGGCAGGCTGAGGCTGAGGCTGAGGCAGGCTGAGGCTGAGGCTGAGGCTGAGGCTGAGGCTGAGGCTGAGGCTGATGCAGGCTGAGGCTGAGGCTGAGGCTGAGGCCGAGGCTGAAGGCAGACTGAGGCTGAGGCTGAAGCAGGCTGAGGCTGAGGCTGAGGCAGGCAGGCTGAGGCTGAGGCTGAGGCAGGCTGATGCTGAGGCAGGCTGAGGCTGAGGCTGAGGCTGATGCAGGCTGAGGCTGAGGCAGGCTGAGGCTGAGGCCGAGGCTGAAGGCAGACTGAGGCTGAGGCTGAAGCAGGCTGAGGCTGAGGCTGAGGCAGGCTGAGGCTGAGGCTGAGGCTGAGGCTGATGCTGAGGCTGAGGCAGGCTGAGGCAGGCTGAGGCTGAGGCCGAGGCTGAGGCAGACTGAGGCTGAGGCTGAAGCAGGCTGAGGCTGAGGCTGAGGCAGGCTGAGGCTGAGGCAGGCTGATGGAGGCAGGCTGAGGCTGAGGCTGATGCAGGCTGAGGCTGAGGCAGGCTGAGGCTGAGGCCGAGGCTGAAGGCAGACTGAGGCTGAGGCTGAAGCAGGCTGAGGCTGAGGCTGAGGCAGGCTGAGGCTGAGGCTGAGGCAGGCTGATGCTGAGGCAGGCTGAGGCTGAGGCTGAGGCTGATGCAGGCTGAGGCTGAGGCAGGCTGAGGCTGAGGCCGAGGCTGAAGGCAGACTGAGGCTGAGGCTGAAGCAGGCTGAGGCTGAGGCTGAGGCAGGCTGAGGCTGAGGCTGAGGCAGGCTGATGCTGAGGCAGGCTGAGGCTGAGGCTGAGGCTGATGCAGGCTGAGGCTGAGGCTGAGGCCGAGGCTGACTGAGGCTGAGGCTGAGGCTGAGGCTGAGGCTGAGGCAGATGAGGCTGAGGCTGAGGCTGAGGCTGAGGCTGAGGCTGAGGCTGAGGCTGAGGCTGAGGCTGAGGCTGAGGCTGAGGCTGAGGCTGAGGCTGAAGGCAGACTGAGGCTGAGGCTGAAGCAGGCTGAGGCTGAGGCTGAGGCAGGCTGAGGCTGAGGCTGAGGCAGGCTGATGCTGAGGCAGGCTGAGGCTGAGACTGTGACTGCGACTGCCATTGCCACTGCGACTGTCATCGCGAATGCGACTGCGACTGCGCGAACAGCAGAACTCTACATCTGAATTCTCATCTGAATATAAAGGGGAATGCTTCCAGATATGCTTCTACACATCGCTGTTAGGTTGCTTTGCCGGGATAATTGAAGGATTTCGGCATGCACGCGCGACGACGCACGCGTGTGCACTCTTTCCCCTCATGCTTGGTGGGGTTATGGTTTTATTCTCTGCCGCGCCGCGCCCGCGACTCACGCGCCCGCGACTCACACCTCCTCCTCCTCCTCCTCCTCCTCCTCCTCCTCCTCCTCCCCCACCCACAGCGCAGCACAGCACAGCACAGCACAGCACAGCACAGCACATCAAAGCACACAGATACACACATACACACATACACACATATACACATACAGACAAACACAAAAACACACACACACATCATATATCACAGCACAGCACAGCACAGCACAGCACAGCACAGCACAGCACAGCACAGCACAGAACACACACACACATACACACACAACCACACAAGCACACACATCACACCGCACACACAGCATAGCACAGCACAGCACAGTACAGCACATCAGACCGCAGCACAGCCCAGCACAGCACAGCACGCCCCAGTCGTCCAGGCATACCAGGCGTGGCACATTCTGGACACCATATGGAGTGCGAAGGGGGTGGTCTCTCAGTGCGGCCGCTATCTACGACACTGTCGCAAAATCTAGTAGGCGTGGCATTTTCTGGACACCATAGGGGTGCGCTGTGGGTTCGGGCGCTATGCGCTGCAGGCTCGCAGGGCGCGGCAAGCATGGGATTGCCTCGACACCACAGTGGGTGCGCTGGGGCTGGTCTCCGTATCCGCTGCAGCCTCGCACAGCGTGGCAGGCGTGGCACTTCCTCGACAACACAAGGGGTGCGCTGGGGGTGGTCTCCCTATCCACTGCGGCCTCGCAAAGCGTGGCAAGCGTGGCACTTCCTCGATACCACAGGGGGTGCGCTGGGAGTGGTCTCCCTATCCGTTGCGGCCTTGCAATGTGTGGCAAGCGTGGCACTTCCTCGACACCACAAGGGGGTGCGCTGGGGGTGGTCTCCCTACCCGTTGCGGCCTCGCACAACGTGGCAGGCGTGGCACTTCCTCGACACCACAAGGGCTGCGCTGGGGATGGTCTCCGTATCCGTTGCGGCCTCGCAATGCATGGCAAGCGTGGCACTTCCTCGACACCACAGGGGGTGCGCTGAGGGTTGTCTCCCTATCCGTTGTAGCCTCGCGCAGCGTGGCAGGCGTGGCACTTCCTCGACACCGCAGGGGCTGCGCTGGGGGTGGTCTCCGTGGTCTCCCTACCCGTTGCGGCCTCTCACAGCGTGGCAGGC